GACATGACCAGACTCTGCCAAGCCAATTCGGCAGCGCGATACTGATGATGGTGATGATGATGGTGACTGTTTTTGGTTTTAACTATTATCATAATAGCTAGTGCTGTTATTGTTGTTATTGCTCTGACCCATCTGGGTTCTGCCTACAGGTATGTTGCTTCAGGCTTTACTGAAGCACAGGGCAAGGTCTCTCAGACCCGACCTAAACTACACACACCCGTATACATGGAAGAGCTCCGAACTCGATTCAGTCAGAGAGTTCCGCGAGTTGTCATTGCTATTGCTACTGCTATGACTACTCGCATTACTATTTTTGGACTCTGCAGTCTTCAAGCCCGTCAACTCGTGCAGACTTGCGCAGGCATGGTGTAACATCAGGGAGCTCAGTCTGCTCAGGTCCGGGCAACGGATCGGCCTTCGTCTCCGGCCATGTGCCTGAGTGCGTGCGACCAACAAACCCCTGCGACACGAGCGACGGCTTCGCTAAGGCAAGGAAAAAGGATTGCGCCCTGGTTTTGAGACGTTGCACCAACAAGTCGACAAGTCAGTCCGTCGTTCATGGGGGCCTCCCCGACTTTAGAGAAGCTTCCTTTCGGGCGCCTTCGGCGTCCGGTCCCTTGGGTTTCTAGGCTGCGAAGAATGTCCTGTGCCTCGCCGTCCTTCACTACGTATTCGAGTCAGTATGCGTCCATCGCAGCCCATCAGTCAGAAAAGGGCACATCAGACGACAACGTGTTCAAACGCAAGCCTCTGATCCGGATATCATGAAGCAAAGACCTGTACAAGCGTGCATCCCGCTGAGTATAGAAAAGCGCCTGTCAGCAATTCACAAGCTCTCCGACTTTCGGCGTGCTTCCTTTCGGGCGCCTTCGGCGTCCGGCCTTTTGTGTGTTTTACGTCTGCGGGCTGACGCAGCCGGTGGAGAGGTTCCAAACGTGCGAGTCGCACTGGAAGATGAAGACGACCTTTGCGGCGACCCATGCCAAACCTCCGAAGCCTGCCAACATCATGAAGACTGGGACGGCACCCATGATTATCGCGGGGATGTCACATTGTCGGACAGCGCGAGCACACCATGCAAGTTTTGGCACGACGACTGCGGAGATCTGCAATCCCTTGCCACCTGCACGGTCCAAGTGCAAGAACTGCCCAGCTCAGTTCAACCTCTTAAGACGGTGCAAGAGATGTCAAACAGCTATGTGGGGCTATGGTGAACGGTGGACACGGGATCTGGGTTCGGCTCTAGTCGCCTGCAACAAGGAGTCCCACGCCGATGGAGGCCATCGCTTGCCAGCGAGCAAAGGTGTCCATGCGGTCGAAGGAGAGGGACAAGTAGGAGCTTTGCAGCCACAGCTGCAGCAAGTTCTCCAGCAGGAGCTTCGTGCCGAGGATGAATGCGACTCTTCCCTCAGCGTTTTGTGGTCCATCTGCTGGGAGTTCAACGACCTCGGCACCGCTGTATAAGGCAAGGCGAAGGTTCTCAGAGTCGACCTGCTCGTGGAATAGGCTCATCTGAAACGTCCCTATGGGGCTGCAGATCACCAATGCGTAGACACAAAGCATTGCCGCCAAGCCGACGAGCCAGCCGAAGGATGCCCAAAGCATCACCAAGAGCACGAAGACCAGCGCCACGAATGGAGCAACGAAAGTGTAAACCACGAGCAGCTGAGGAAGGTAGGCATTGGTAATGAACCTGGCATCCAAGGCTACCGGGCTGCCCAGCCCTTCAGGTGAGAACAACTTACGCTCAACAGCACCCACTCGAAAGACTCGAAGCATCCTAACTACAGGACCCAGACGCAGCATCAGCGCCACGCCAGAGAAGCCCAGCTTAGAGAGTATTGGAACCATGAGCCCTCCGCCGGGGGCATCGTGCCAGGACTGCAGCCAGAGACTCGTGATTTCGTCACTGCAGGCAGCTGATGTCTGAAGAGCGCATCCGAGGCCATGTCGAAGTGCTCCAGCGCCGCAAGGCCGAGCATGAAAACGAGACACGGAGTGCTTTTGTGGAGGTCCTTGCTCAAAGAGCCTAGCATGGCCCGGATTATGCAGACGAAATGCACAGCAAAGAAGACTCCGTAGGCGATGTAAGCCAGAGTAGGTGGACCCTCCTCGCAGGTTGCTCCAAAACCCAGGCTGACCAGAGCGATGGGCATCACCACCCAGTAGAGCACTGCTGCCAACACCAGGGCCGGATCCCTGCGGTCGACCTCAAGCTGCTATTGCTACTGCTGCTGCGGCTACATACAAGAGACATGGCTGAAGAAAGTCGAAAAGAATGGCCTCCCGGCGTTGGACGGGGCGGGGAAGCTCCTCCTCCTCTTCCTCCTCCTCCTTGTCCTCGTCCTCCTCCTTGAGTCGCTCGTAGTCCATCGAGAAAGGTTTGAAGATGCCCACAGCAAGGTAGATGTAGATCAGCAGCACCATGGTAGCACAGGGCCAGATGGCCTTCCAAGGCACTTTTGTCACAGCCATCTCCGGGGTCTCCTCACAAAAAGGTAGCAGTCGCATCTCCGAAAAGCTTGCATTTCGGTCCCACTGAAGCCCCGTCAGCCTTGCCTGCTGGTCGAAGCTTGATAATGAATCTCAACCCCAAGGCCCTCCCACCAAGCTTTGCGTCCTGCCAAGCCCTCAGCCTCTCTCTCTCTCTCGCTCTGTGGCCTCGCGGCTCGCTGTGCCTTCTGCCAACCTCCTGGCGGCCGCCTGGAGAGCTGAAGCCAGGGCTTTTGGGTGACTCGGCGGTTCGCAACGTTGCCCATTCATGCGAAACCCTCGGTTTTCCTCAGTTTTCACGACGGAGAAGATGGACCTACTGCCTTTGCCTGGAGTCGTCAAACTCGAGATGGAGATGCTGTATCACCAGAAGCCCCGGCACTGCGCCCTCCCAGATTCGAAACCCCATTACATAAACTACAATAAACCCTCC